CAGGCCTGTTGCTACCAAAGTCTCCAGCAGGCATGAGTCTGCACCACCAACCCCTGGAACATTCCTTTGGCTACAGAGCTGGGGTCTTCCTTCCAGCCCAGCAAAGTGCAATGGCTAAGAGGCAGGGTCTCCAGTCTAGCATCTGATGTTCTTGTGGCCAGGGGCTAGTACTCGGTGTCCACCCACGCCTTCTCAAATCCCTGTTTCAGATGGAGAAGGCAAACGGTGGCACATGCTTATAATACCAGCTACTTGGGAGGCTGAGGCAGGAGGATGGCAAGTTCAAGGCCAGCCTGGGCAATGGGCACAAACTTGTCTCAAAATAAAATAAAAAGAGATGGGGATGTGGCCCAGTGCTAGGGTACCCTTGGGTTCAATCTCCAAAAAATAAAAAGATGGAGGAGCCAATCAGAATCCCTTAAAGCCCTCAGGCTATGGCAGCTGAACTGGGGGGACATTTGCATCTGTTTTACATAAATTTGCATGAAGCCTACAGCTTGAAAAGCCCCTGAGAATGAGGCTGCAAGATGAAATGAGGGGCTGACAGAGACTTGGGGAGTGACTTCTCCTGGTGTCCTGCAAAGTCTCCCTGTTCTACCCATGTCCTATTCTCTGCTCAGATCTGTGAATTCCTCCACGGAGCCACAGTCCATAGAATTCCCAGCCAGCTGGTTCCCTACGCCACCAAGGGCAACCAATGGGTTGGATACGATGACCAGGAGAGCGTTAGAAGCAAGGTAAGTTCACCGGGCCACCCCCCAGGACAAAGAGGGAGGGGGGACCTGCTCCAAGCAGCCAGAGTCAGCCTCCTGCCCTGAGGTCTGGGCTGCTGGTGGGGGGGTCAGTCTCAGGTACCTGGTATCCCCTCCTCTGGGAATAGCATTTCCCCCATACGCACTCTGCCCTGGAGAACCCAACCCTTCCCCCTCTGGACCTCCCTCCCCAGGTGCAGTACCTGAAACAGAAGCAACTGGCAGGTGCCGCGGTGTGGGCCCTGGATTTGGATGATTTCCGGGGCTCCTTCTGTGGCCAGAATCTACCCTTCCCTCTCATCAATGCCATCAAGGATGCACTCTCAGCCGCTTAGCCCTGTCTTTCTGTATACTGTGGGGTCCAAGGACGCCCCACACCCTCTGACTCCAGCTGGCCGGGAGCCTGAGCACCTGTACTGCTGATCTCCCATCTGAGCCTCCGTCTTCTTCCCCACAGCCTGCGCCAAGGGCAACACCAGAGATGGGGCTGTGGGGTCAGTGAGGGTCTAGGAACCAGCACAATGTCAGACCCAGTATCAATTCATACCTGCTGATGAATAAAACTGCTCATAGACCCCCAAGCCTGGCACAGGGGAATTCTTCAACTTGCTTACCCCCGACCCTCCTAATGAAAGGACACCATTTTGGCAAGCTCTAGCACCAAGTAGCCAAACATCCTAAGAGTCAGTTACCATACTAATTATACCCTCTGCAAAGCTCAATTTGAAACCTTCGTTTAGGAACATAATCCATAATCGTATCTCCTATGCCATTTCCCTTTCCTAATCCCACAGCTGCTCAGTAAAGTACAAGAGCTTAGCGGTGCATCGCACTTGCTTGGTCTGTCTTGGTGGCACCTTGGACCATCGCGCTCACTTCCCCCTATCTTTTCTGGATTCCTCTCCCTGAGGCTTGGGAGCCCTGAGTTTGCAGAGATGAAGCTACCACGTCCTCACCACCAGGATGCAGGAAACCCCAGCGGAAGGTAGCTTCCTTAGATTCTCCTGCCTTGGACTTCACCCAAGCGTGGCTGATGGCTTTTCAGATATGAAAGCCATTGCCATCCAGACTTCCAAATTAAGTTTCTGTTGAAAGAAACCATTTTTGTTTCCTGAAGACTAGCAGACACCAGGAAGGAATGCTTTTAATCCCAGCTTTTCATCTCTCCTGGCTCCCGGGAAGGTGGTAGGAGCCCATCATAGGATGGGGTTGGAGAGCCCTGAACCCTAGACCCTCAGTGCCAGAAGGAAACACACATGTCCTCTCATGTACCTTCCCTGCCTTCCAGGGCAGGAGCCTCTCTCTGCAGGGCTTTGAAGGATGGCCTTTAGCCTCTGACATTCTCAGTGACCTGCATGTCAGTAACCCAGGGGCACTGCTGGGCTGAAAGCCGTGTCTGTCCAAAGGATGACCTTGTCTGTAGCCCAGGGTCCTTGCAGTCCCTCCTCTCACACTCATCCCTTGACCTCTGCCTAGCTGGTCTGGGGCCGTGGTGCCAGTGGAGGCTGAGGGAATCAGATACCCAAAAGAGCAGCCAGTTTCCCATGCTTTACGAGGGGGAGATGCCCTCACCAGCCTTCTGTGAATTTCCAGGGCCCTGGAATGACTTTATCCAAAGAGAGTCCAGATACATCCTCCAAAACTAAAGAGAATTTATTCATGGATTTCCTCATGTTTGGATTATCTGTGACTTGGGATAATCACGAGTTGGCCTGATGGTTTGTGACTCTGATTTCAGGTGTAGGGAAGAAAATACTTATCTGTGGCCCTGAAATCCGAACCAAGCAGAGCAGGGCAGATGCAGCTGATTCCAAGGTCACAGCTCTGCTAAAGGCAAAGAACTTGGCCAGAGCCTTAGGGGGTACCTAGCATTTCAGGGCTGGCCAGTGGCCAAGCATTCCCTCAACCCTGCCACTGCTTGCCCTGTCACACAAAGGTATTTGAAACCCCAGGGCTGAGGGGCTCTCTGGGCAGCCACACAGCAGCCCCAAGGGCAACCCTCCCCCCAGCTTGGGACGGCTCGGCAGGGCTGACTCAGGGTCCTGCAGGGTTAGTCACATTCGCTTATAGCTGCACAGTCAGAGGCCAAGGATGGAGATCGGGTCTCTAGGGCCTGCTCCCTGCCCAGAAGGACACTGAATCAACTGGCAGAGGACATGAGCACCCAGACAGGACTGCATCCAAGGCACCCTGGGTTCTCCACTTCCACTCCCCACAAGGACAGCCAGGGCTGAGAGGCGGCCACACTCTAATGTCCCCTGTTCTGAGGAAGGGGTACAGTCTGCATGTTGATGAGGGCCCTCAAAAAATAACATGCTTGCTTATTTTTAAATTGTGGGATACATCATACACAGTAAACAGTGTATAAATGTATTTGTTTAATTTACAGTCACTATGCATGAAAACTATGAAAACTCCCGTAACCACTACCAAGGGCAGGAAATGAAACCTTGATGGCACCCCAGGACCTTCCCAATCACATGCAACCCTGACCCACTCCCTAGACTTCCATGCTAACTGTGTTCTGCTTTCCTGCATGCTTTACCACCTATGGGTGCACCTTGAAGAAGTAGCTTGGTGTGGCCTGTGTTTGGATTTAGAGCATTTGAGATGGCCCCATTTCTGTGTGCCTGGCTCCCTTCCTCACCATTAGGTCTGTGAGAGCAGCCATGGTGTTGTCTGAGACTGAAGTTTGTTCATTTTATTCCGGATTTTGCTTTTGAATTGCATAAATGTTCTCCAGTGGTTTATCTGTCCCACTGCTGAAGGAGAGCTGTCCCCCACCCCCACCCCAGATTTGGGCTAGTACAAGTAATACTGCTGTGAACATTCTCATCCGGGCCTCCCTGGCCTCCCGGGTGAGTGTTTCCAGGAGTGGAACATCAGGGTCACTGAGCAGGCGCTTTGTTCATATCTCCAGGTTCTGTGTCACTCTTCCCAAAGTTGCTCCCAACTATCCCACCTGCAGCAATGGAAGTCACTATTTCCCGCTCCTGCACACGGCATTTAAATTATTACCAACATTTTATTCAGTGAGTGACTAGGAATTGGGCCATACCTTCATCATTTCCCACACTGGGCAGGTCCATGCCCACGTCCTGTTCTGAGAGGCTGGAAGTTTCGGAGATGCCCTCCAGAAGGGTTCCTTTGAGTCTGCCCACAACTTCATCCCACACCCAACTTGGTCATGGAAAACGGAAGCCCCAGGCAGGGAGGGAAGGCGGATCTGTATCAACCTCCCAGCAGAGACAGGAACTGAAGGGCTTAGTCCCTGCTACAGTTTGAATGCCTCCCCCAAACTCACATTGAGATTCAACCGCCATTGTCACAGTATAAGTGGAGGGGTCTTTATGAGAGGTGGGGAGATCAGGCCACCAGGGCACTGCCCTCACCCATGGATTAATGTCATTATTGTGGGAGCAGGTTAGTTATCTCAAAATGGGTCCCTGATAAAAAGGATGGGTTCAGCCAAGTTCCTCTCACTGTCTCGCTTGCCCACCTGCCCCGTGATGACAGCATAAAGCCCCTCACCAATGTGGGTGCCATGCTCTTGGACTTCCCAGCCTGCAGAACTGTGAGCAGATAAACATCTATCCATAATTTACCCCTCTGTGATATTCTGTTAGAGCACAAGAAAATAGACAGGGACAGTTCTTCTTCCTGGAGTCCCAATGCTGGAGGACCTTCTCTGGCCAGCTCCGTCTTGAGCATCTCAACTCCCTGCCTAGGTAGGGCCCTGACCTCACATAGCACAAGGGAGAGTTCCCAGGGCAGAGAGGACCCCAGGGGCAAAGCCAGGAGTGAGTGCTCACCAGGGAGGCTGGAGCAGGCTGTCTGGGCCCCAGACCCCGGTCTGAAAAGACCTGCATCCAAGTGGCTCACGGAAGCCAGACTCCCAGAGCTGACCAGACTTCCTTCTCTAAACAGCAGCTGTCTCCCGTTGCCCCAAACCTGGGCACTGGTCCTAATGGTGTCCCAGCTCACCTATCTGTGCCTGCTCCTAGCCAAGCACTAGCACCCTGACTGTGAGGTCCAAACAGGGTGACGGCAAGGTAGTGCACTCCTCAAGGGGCCCCGTGGTTCTTCCCCCAGAGCTATTCCTGGACTGGGCACCTCCCCTCCCCCCCCCCCACCCCCTGCCTGACCTGACCCCACAGCTGGGAATCATTGGCTGGGGGCGGGGCAGCCCCTGGCTATATAAGCCTGGTCCTAGGTGTCCCAGACACCCTGGAGGCTCAGACCCTCCACTGCTGACCCCTGCACACCCCAGCCTCACCCTCTACAGCCCAACAATGACAGGAGAGGCCACCTCCGAGGCCACTGCCTCTGGTCCAGAGGAGACGGCATCTGAGTCTGTCAGTGTTCCCATCACAGAGCCTTCTGGAGAAGTGGCAGCATCGGAGTCCAAAGGAGAAGAACAGGCGGAGGAGCCCCAGGAGCCCCAGGAGCCCCAGGACCCTGCTTCTCAGGCACTGGCCCCCACAGCTCCCACGGTTACTAAGCCTGCACCCCCAAGCGAAGGTGAGCCGAGGCCGGGCAGGTGGAGGAGGGCAGCAGGTGTGCCGGGGGGCCTTATGGCCACGAACCTCTTCATCTCATCCTGGCTTCTCTTCAGATGTCCCCAGCGCACCGCTGCTGCTGACCGTGGAGGATGTGAGCAGCAGCTCCGTGACTGTGAGCTGGGAGCCCCCGGAGAAGCTGGGGAGGCTGGGGCTCCAGGGCTACGTGGTGGAGATCTGCAGAGAGGGAAGTAAGTGCTCAGCCCAGCGGACGCCCCACATGAGTGGCCAGGAGGGCAGCAGGGACACCTGCAGTCCCAGTCTGGGGGCATGGGAGGGAGGAGGACAGGTAGTAGTTTCCTTAACCCGCCCCCACTTCTAGCTGCACTGGGGCCCTCTGAAGGCAGGGGGATGGCAGGGACCTCAGGAGCCTCACCTTTCAGCTCCAAGGAGCCTCTGAATAACAGAACAGAGCACTGCTCTGGGGAGGAGAGAGGTGCCGTGCAGAGAGGGAGGTGATGAGGAGAAACAGAGAATGGGGAGTGTTGGGCTCCATTCCTGCTGCCTCCGTTCCCCTCCACATCAGTCACCCTCATCTGGGCCTCTACTTCTGCCCCCACCTTGCTGTGTGACTTTGTAAAGGTGTCTACCCCTCACTGGGCTTCAGCAACCCCATCTCTGGTCACCATTCCAGTGGTCTAACCCTCCCCCCGCTCCGTGTTTTTGATGCCACACTGGACATGAAGAATTCAGGAAAGTGGAGCAACTGGAAAATGAGCCCAGAGAGGGAGGTCAACGTCCCCAGACCACCATTGAGAAGGGACACCCCATTGAAAAGGGTGGCCCTGACCATGTCCCAAGATCTCACAGGTTCTCGGTTCCTCGCAGCCTCAGAGTGGGTCCCTGTGAATGCCCGGCCCATGATGGTGACCCAGCAGATCTTGCGGAACCTGGCTCTAGGAGACAAGTTCTTCCTGCGTGTGGCCGCAGTGAGCTCCGCGGGGGCTGGTCCACCTGCAGTGCTGGACCAGCCCGTCCACATCCAGGAGATCATAGGTAAACCTCACCTCTTGCTCCCCAGCCCCATCTAATGGAGGAAATGAAGCCATGGGCAGTGAGATCCACGAAGCCCTCTCCCCACCCCACACTCACATGCACAAGCCACGTGCTCCTGCCATCTTGACTTGAGAAAGTGCCGGGCTTCTTAGCTTCCAGTGGTCTCTGGGGGTGTCAAAGAAGTCACTTCCCTGAGTAGTCCAGCCCCAAAGCCTTGGGGAGAGGTTTCCTGATGTCCAGAAAGGAAAGCTCAGGTCCCTGGGTCACCTGTCTCAGAGTCCCAGTGCTAAGATACCACCTGATTTCCTTCTAGCCGATCTTAATCCCTCCAGTGGCCATGGAGGCTCAATTTCTGCCCATTTCCTAAGCCTGGGTTCCAGATCTCCCCCAAAGGTTCTGGAACAGAGAGAAAGCCTGCTGCCCCTGTTCTCCCAGAGCCCTAGTGGGCAGGGGAAGGGGGTCCACAAAAGGCCTGCGAGGGCTTCTCCATCCCCAAGGGGCAGTGCCTCACTAGGGACCTGAAGGCCAGCTGCTGTCCCCATTGCTAATATTTCTATTTGCAGGGTGCATTAGCCCAATCCTACCCTCACTACCCTCCCAGAGCTGATCATGTTTCAGTCTGTTAATGGCAATGAGTCATTTGGTCTGATCTCAGGTCCCTGGGGACAGAGCAGGGCCCCAGGGTGGAGAAACAGGCAGGCAAACAGGTGGCCTGAGGCCTTCTCCATCTTCCTTTTAGTTCTTCCACCAGGCGGACAGTGGTTCCTGGTGGAGGCTGAGAGCAGAACTCCACCCTTCTAGACCAGGCATTCAGAAGGAAAGGGTATCAAGGCCACAGGACGGGTCAAGTTTGGATTCAAAGAAATAGAACCAGACTGTCATGGTTCACATATCCAAGCCAAGCAGATCCCAAGGGACCTAGGGACAATCTGGAGGTCACCCAACTGTTCAATGGTGCTCCCAGATACTGATGCCCACAGGAGGCCATTCATGCCCCACCAAGCTACAGGGGACATTCCCAGCCTTTGAGTCTGGATGAGACGTGGCCCTACGTGGCAACTACAGGATAGCTGTTTGACTCTAGCCCCGAGGTGCCAGGAAGTCCTCCTGCCTGGGGGAGTCCCGACCTTCCCCCAGGGCCCCAAGGAGGTCAGACTCAGAGGCCTCTGAGGCCTGGTGTCTCAGGAGCCAGCCAGACTCAGCCAGACTCAGACCTGCTTCTCCATTAAAATTCCACTGGCGGGAGAGGAGGGAATTTCCTGGAGAGAAAAGGAGGAGGAGAAGGCCACAAACAAGTAGGGGACAGCCAGGCTTCTTATGGGAGAGCAGGCTGGGGTGGGGACCCTGTCCAGGATCCTCAGCTGCTCAGCTGTCCTTCCTTGGCCACCTGGAGCTGCCAAGCATTCCTGACCTCCTGCAGCTGCCCCTAGAGCATTCCTCGCCTGCTGCTCCCAAGCCAAATGCCCGCTCAGCTAATCCTTGGAGACACAGTGTTCCTTCTGGCTGTCTCCTCCTTCTCTGCCACCCTTCATGCCACCGACCAACTGCTGCCACCTGTTTGCTGCTGAGGAGCCTCCGTCCCAGGCCCAGCACATGCACCCCCACCTCCACCCCAGGGACAAGGTTGTGGCAACTTCCCTTGGAATGTCCAGTGATTCCCTTGGTTGCACCTGATTAGAGGAAGGTTGGGAAGGTAGTTACAAGCCATAGCGGGGCAGAGGCAGGACTTCAGGAAGGACTTTCCAACCATGAGGTTTAAAGAGAGGGGCCACAAAGAGAGAAGGGATATACTTGCTGTGGCCTCATTTGAGCAGAGAAAGACCCTAGTCCCCCGGGTTGGGTCGAGAGGCCTAGGACCGAACAAGGAAGGGCTTCTCTGAAAATCCTAGGCTGTTGGGGGGTGCGGGATGCAGGGTGTGCAGGAAGAAGTACTGCCTTCTGTCCTGGGAGTATAGTCTGACAGGTGCAGCGCCTGCTCCCCTCCAGGGGGAGCCAGAGAGCCAGCAGGGCCCATCTGGAGATTTCGAATGCTTGGGCTGCAGGGCAAATCCCAGCCTGGCAGGGTCAAGGTGCCAAGAGAGTGCCTGGGATGCCTACCACTTCACACCATGGAGGCCCTGACCTCTCTGGAACCTCCCGGCTTTCAGCTCCCCAAGGGCCTTATAGGATTTGAGCCCCACGATCTCACGAGTAAGAGCTTTGCCTCTCCCACAAGGAAGCAGCCAGAACATACCCAGGAGCGCTGCTGTCTGGCCAGAGCCAGCTGTCCCCTATCCCTGTGTCAGAAGCCCCCATTCAGCTATCCCTCTGCTGTGCTAAGCCTAGACTCTTGCTTTCATGCAGAGCCCCCCAAGATCCGTGTCCCCCGCCACCTTCGGCAGACTTACATCCGCCAGGTGGGAGAGTCGATCAACCTTCAAATCCCCTTCCAGGTGGGTATGCCTCTACCTAGAGGGAGAGTCTGGGTGGAAACCAGAGTCCCAGCCAGGTCCACAGCAGAAGCCCAGGAAAAATCAGGATTCCCCCAAGGGCTCTGCCTAGGATCCACCAAGAAGGCCTCGTCCTTCCTTGATCACACACATGACTCAGTTGTAACCCCCAGCCTGTGGACTGGCAGGTGGATCCCCAGTGCAGCTGGACACCTGGAGGACAAGGCTGGGGCAGCACCTATGGCTCCAGCCCCTGCTGCCCCTCCTGAGAAGGACCAAGGGACAGGCTTCCAAGGACACAGCTCCAGATACTCCGGAGCTGGAGGGAGTGGGGGTGCCAGCCTGACCTGCACTCACCCTGAGGGCTCCCTCCCATCAGGGGAAGCCCAAGCCTCAGGCCTCATGGACACACAATGGCCAAGCCTTGGACGGCAAGCGGGTAAACGTGCGCAGCGGGGACCAGGATTCCATCCTCTTCATCCGCTCCGCCCAGCGCTCTGACTCAGGCCGCTATGAACTCACTGTGAGGCTGGAAGGTCTGGAGGCCAAGGCAGCCATCGACATCCTGGTGATTGGTAAGGGGCCAGGGGAGACAGGATTGGTCCTCAGGGACGTAGAAACATCCCCCGTGGAGCTGATGGCTGGTGGGGGCAGGCTGAGGAAGCACTGCAGGAACCAAAACTCGGGTGTGGGGACTTTGTGGCAGGCTCAGCCTCATGCTCACTCCCCTCCACTGTGGTCCTGCAGAGAAGCCTGGGCCCCCCAGCAGCATCAAGCTACTGGACGTGTGGGGTTGCAATGCTGCCCTTGAGTGGACACCACCCCAGGACACGGGCAACACAGAGCTCCTGGGCTACACGGTGCAGAAGGCAGACAAAAAGACGGGGGTGAGGCCTGCCGGGACAGAGTGGGGTGGGGAGGAAGTGCCTAAGGTGGCTGCAAAGGCCCATCCCACCAAGAGTCTCAGGATCAGTTTCAGTGCAGTGACTGTTGACTCCCTATGGCAGGACTCTTCCCCATTAAGACAGCAAGGAGGGCTGGCCCGGGCTGTCAGAGGCCTTTCAAACTCTGGAGCTGTTTCTGGAATCTTCATGGGCATATTAGTTACCTAGGAATCTTGCTAAGATGCAGATTCTGATTCAGTAGATCCTGGCTGGGACTGAATCCTGAAGTCCCCAGGTGATAATGAGGTTGCAATCACATCCAAAATAGAAAGGCTCTAGAATTCTCTGAGGTCCCAGAGAGCTCACTTGAGTGACCCAGGTGCCCCTTCTCCCACTTCAAAGTCCTTTGGGACCCAAAGCTGGATGGTTTCACCTCCCAGGGTTGGAGACATAGAATGAACCCCTCTGGGGAGGCAGCCACTGGGAGGGTGAGGACTAAGGTGAGGGGTGAGTGTGACGGGGCCGGGGTCCCCACAGCAATGGTTCACAGTGTTGGAGCGCTACCACCCAACCACCTGCACCATCTCCCACCTCATCGTTGGCAACTCGTACTACTTCCGGGTCTTCTCAGAAAACCTGTGTGGCCTCAGCGACTCAGCCACCTCCACCAAGGAGCTCGCCCACATCCGGAAGGCGGGTAGGTTTGGTTCAGGCCCGAAACCAAGCCAGGGCCAGCAGCTCCTGCCCTGGACTCTTTCCCTGTCTCTCTCTACCTCTACCTCCGCGTCCCTGCATCCCTCCCTCTGGACTTCTCCTGGGTGCCTGTTTCCTGGAACATTCTCTGCCCTCCTTTGACTCCACCGCTGTGTGTGAGTGTGTGCATGAGTGTGTGTGCACACACAGAGTGGCTATAAAGTAAGGGATGTGGCTGATGGGCTTTAACAAACACATCAGAGCAAACCCATGCAAATGAGCAGTGCCCCTTGGGAGGCTGTGTACTTATTCTAAAGATGTGTGTGGCTGTGAACGTCACAGCAGCCATTAGGTCTCATGCACAGCGTCCCAAGGGACCTACCCTGAAGGGCAATATGTACGTGATTTGTAGACTCCAGCGAGTTCGTAAAAGCAGCAAACCCACCGCCCAACGAGAACGTCACACAGATGGATGAGATCACTACAGCATCTCCACAGGGCGCCTGGCCCTCTTGGGTCAAATGCTAAATCCCAGGCCCTTCTCCCTGTCACCCTCTATGTCCAAGGCCTTTTCCCCACCCAGGGTGTGTGTGGGCTCCAGAAGGCACAGTCTTTTTGATACCAGCCTGACCTGCACAAAATTAGGAGAAAGTTTCTGTTTTAAAAAGGAAAACTAATGAGGTCTCCAAAGACAGGAATGAAACACGGTAACTCCGTGTCACTGGTCTCCGCCTTCCGCTGAGATCTGCTCCCCTGCTCTGTGTTGCTGCCCACTCTTCTCTCTGCTTACCACCCCAACCCACCTGACTCCCTCTTGGCTTTCCTTGGCTTCTTTGACTTTTCTTCTCTAAGCTCCCACAAAAAAGCAAGGCTTCTCAAAAATCCTGGATAAAGTCAACCTTATGTATTCTCCTCAAATTCTGTAATCTCAAATTTTCCCTCGAACCCAGATATTGCTGCCAAACCTAAAGGGTTCATTGAGCGAGACTTCTCGGAAGCCCCCTCGTTCACCCAGCCCCTGGCTGACCACACCTCCACCCCCGGCTACAGCACTCAGCTCTTCTGCAGCGTCAGAGCATCGCCCAAGGTGAGGGGCCCGGGGCTGGTGGGACAGGGGGCAGTGTAGGGTTGGGAGATCCCAGCGTCTCCCCAGGGGCCTGAGAATGGCCCTTTGAGAGCATCCTTCCCAGCTCTCCTCTGATTATGCCACCCAGCCCAAGATCATCTGGATGAAAAACAAAATGAACATCCAGGGGGACCCCAAATATCGTGCCCTCTCTGAGCAAGGGGTCTGCACCCTGGAGATCAGGAAACCCAGCCCCTTTGATTCCGGGGTCTACACCTGCAAGGCCATCAACGTGCTGGGGGAGGCATCCGTGGATTGCCGGCTGGAAGTCAAAGGTAAGGGATTGCTCTCTGGGGACCATACCATGGATGGGACAATAGGAGACATTCCCTCTTTGGAGTTGGATTGGATGCCACTGAGAGCTGAAGATTAAAGCAGGAGAGAAGGAGACAGTGAGGATCAGATCAGGCCTTCTGAATGACCTTCCAAGGGGGAAGATGACCCAGTGGGGGGGAGCACGTGACCTTGAACCTCGATGTTCCCTCCTCTCCTCCCCTAAGCTCTAACCTGCAGGATCTCTTCTAGCCTCAGCCACACACTGAGGAGCAATGGAGGAGGCTGGTGTGAGGAGACAGGTAAAGGACTGGACCCACTCCCTCTGCTACCTCTGGGGACAGGGGGTGGAGACAGGAGGGAAGGCAGAAGTCAGCTCTGGGAACAAATCTGCAGTCTCAGGCAGCTCTGATGCCTGCCCAGAGACATGCATCAGTGGTGCAGGGCGCTGTGATGCTGTGAGGCCCGCAAGGGGGTGATGCCGGTGGTCCGCTAGACAGGGGTCTAACCCTGGCTTTGAGCCACAAGCAGGGGCAGTCTCTTGGGGCTTGTCTCCTCAACATGAAAGTGGGGACAACAGCCCCCGCACTCTTTCCCCTGGTGTGTCTAAGGCTCTGGATAAGTAAGGAAATATCTAGAACTGTGATGGGCAGAGTTCAGCCCTGGAACAGGAGGGGGGGGGGCAGCCTAGGAAGGGACAAGGGGCTGCTTCCCCACCCCCCTCTGCAGCTCTGAAGCCCAGCTCTGCCTCCTACCACCGGGGCTCAGAAGTATGTTCTCTGCCAGGTCCTGCAGGCCTGAGGGGTCCGTCCCCCAGGTCCAAAATCTAGCTCAGCAGATACCAAATGACCTGCATTTCCATAGCAACAACTGATGGAACCGCCCCTACCTGATGACCTCCTGTCCCCGGAGGCTGGAGTTCAGAACTCAGGAGAGGGCCTGGCAGGCCCCAGGTCAGGCATTCTGGGCACCAGGGAGCCCGGAAGGAACAGAGACTGGAACACCCTTCAGAGTTGTACCCTGAGCAAGAAGCACTCAAATAAAGGTGTGTGATGTTACAGTTTGTGGCCTCTGTGGCAGTGAGCGTCACCACGAAGGGGAGGCACTGTGTCCCCATGTGTGGGTGGATCCACCACCCTGAGGAAGGAGCCAGCAAGAAGGGTCTCAAAATGTCCCAGGGCATTTTCTGGACATGGGAATGGTCGGACCTTGTTTTGTGACTCAGGGCTTGCTATCCCAAGTATGTAACTATAGAAACAGACACACCTTCTCTGGAACCCTGCTTGCTCCCACATCCCCCACCGCTGTGTCTTTATTGCGAAGTCTGTCTTGTTTCCCCCAGGACAGTGGTGGGTGGTGCCAGCAGTGTGTTCTCCATGAGGGTTCACAGTTTTTTATTAGTCACCAGGGATATTTCAATGCCAGCAAGGCCCTCCCTGGAGGCCTCTCAGGACAGTGGCCCTCTCTGGCCTGTTCCAGCCTGCCACACCCCACCCCAGGAGTGCCCACAGTCAGCCCTGGGTCCCCCCAGATGCTTCTCACATCCTCCCTAGGCAGGCATAACGCTCCTAAGAGTGGTGTCTCTGGGGTTCTTCTCTTTATTGGGCCCAGAAGCAGCAGAGATGGTGTCACCTAGGAGGGTCCAGATCTTCATTAAGGACTGTTGGAGCTTGGCCACCCATGATGGGAAGTTACAATATCCAGGCTCCTTGGAAGCTTGGGGCAAGACCCTAGAGGGCTCGATGCTGCCACCTGGTGGCTGCCCATGGCTGGCACCTACCACACCACCCTCGGGGGCTCAGAGGCCCCATTGAGGGGCCAAAAGGACAGCCAGTGGGGGATACACAAACTGGGAAATGACTTCTGGACCCCTCTTTCTGCCTCTTCCAAGTATAATCCTGGGTTTCCCAGGACAAAGAGAACAGGCACCCGGTGCCCAGCATGTCAGGCACAGAATCCTAGGAGGCAGAGATTAAGGCTCCTGGATTCCTGCTCCTGGCCACCTTCTCCTACAGTACAGGACAGAAAGCAGGCCAGGACCCCCCCCCCCCCCCGCCCCTTCTCTGCTTATCTCCATCTCAGAGGGGATTCTCTCCTATCCTCAAGCTTGGTCCCAGGACATGCCACCAACCCTCTACACCAGTAGACTCCTCTGCTTCACTGAAGGAGCCAGAGCTTCCTCTCCCAGCCCCCAATGGCTCCTCCACAGTTGGCCCCTAGGACCTGCTCAGCTAGATGCCTCATGGGCTATCAGGCAGGGGGCGCTCAAGACATTTTTCTCTGGCCTCAGGGCACAAGATCCTTCCCTTGGGCTGCCCTCCCAAATCTCCGCCAGGACCCCTCGGTGCAGGGCGGCTAACTCCCTGTGGAGGGGCCCCCTGCTCCGTGGGCATCTCTTCAGACCCTCCCCACTGCCACAGCCCACAGCCCAGCTGGGGAAGGGCTCAGGAAGACCAGTGGGACAGCGGGGAGGTGAGGGCTGTGGGACCCCATTGGGTATGGGTTGGTGGGAGCAGAAGGCAGAGCTAGTCATCAGCCTTGTCTTCAGGGAGGTCCTCGTCAGTGGGGGGCTCCGACTGGCAGCGGAAATGGTCGTTCCAGATCTTCAGGAAGGTGACCCGGAACTTCTGGATGCGGAAGGCATAGACGATGGGGTTCATGGCTGAGTTGCCGTGAGTAAGGAAGATGGCGACGTAGATGAGGATGCTGGGCTTGTGGCAGCTGGGGCAGAAGAGGGTGATGCAGTTCAGGATGTGCAGGGGCAGCCAGCTGAGGGCAAAGAGAAAGAGGATGAGGGCCAGCGACTTGGCGATCTTCAGCTCCTTCCCATAGTACTTCTGCGGGTCGCCGGAGGAGGCTGACACTTTCTTGCTGAGTTGCTTGCGGATCAGGTAGAAGACCTCCAGGTAGATGAGGACCATGAGGAGCAGCGGAGGCAGCACCCAGACGAAGAAGTTGAAGTAGACCATGTACTCCATGCTAATGACCTTCTCAAACTCGCACTTGATCACGGGCTCCCCCACACTGCCGTTGGCCACCCAGGCCCGCTCCACCTCCTGCAGGTTGTTCCAGCCGAACAAGGGTGTCAGGCCAACCACCAGGGAGAGAAGCCAGCAGCCAGCAATGGCCACTGCTGCCCTCCGTGGGGTCACCACCGTCTTGTACCTGTGGGAGAAGAGGGAAGGGTATGAGGAACTGCTTCCTAACTGCCATGAAGATCCCTCTGAGACTCACCCAGCCCCTTGGGGGTGGCAGGGCGGGCTCCTACAGGAGGGTCCAGAGAAAGTAGAAAAGGATGGATCTTTTGCCCAAGGGCCGAGTCTTCAGTATCTAAAATTCAGGGCAAAGTTGGCAAGGCACTGGCTTGTTTCTCCTGCAGAAGGAGGGAATTCTGATTAATGATCAAAAAAATAACAAAGGACCTCTTTTAGGAGTTCTAAGGGAATGACCCAATAAACAGGACCACTACAGATCATGATAGGAGCCTTAAAGGATACGAACAGGATGATGACAAGGGATAGTGCTTTCCAACCTTTCTCACCTTGTGACACACAGAGCATGTAAAACATCAGGATGATATGTGGAGACATGGTCCAGACGTGATGGCCTGTCCCCAACCCAATACTGAGGGTAGGGTTTGAATATCTTGGGGGCTCCCCACTTGCCTCTAAACCATCCCAACCAGCAGCCAGTCATCGTATCATCTGCCCACACACTGGCCTTGGAACAAGTGCCAAGGGCTGGGGCCCGCCCAGCTCTGTGCCGAGGCTGCCCGAGCAGCAGCAGCTTGCCCAGTTGTTATTTTCCAGTGCAGCATCTGAGAGGGATGGAGTGCCCTCCTAAGCACGTAAACAGCTCCTGAAATCTGGGGTAGGAGGGGGACCTCTGATTGTTTCTTTCTGTCCTGTGTCTATGGAATCTGCAGCTCTTGCCTTCTCAGGACGATTGCCCCCTCACCCTGGGCAATGATTCTTCTAGACCTCTTACTATGTGCTAAAGCCCTCCTGCTCTGTGCAGGCTATAGGGATCGGAAGGGGGACCATTAGGAGAGCAGGAGAAGCCAGATGCCTCCTCCCTGTCCCATCTAGAAAATAAACACTAAAAGGGACTGTTGGGACCTCATCTAATCTCTGCAGCATTCCAGTGGAGAAACTGAGGACCCTAAATGACTCCAACGGCTTTGCAGCACTGCCCCTTCCCTCCTCTGTGATCCTAGGATCCTTGTGTCCCCAAACCATTCAGGGGTCTTGGCTGATCAGTTCAATTGTGCCTAACTCTCTTGCAGTAAGGGAATCCCATTCCCTCCTCCTTGAATCCTCAGCAGAATGGCCAGGCCTGAGGCAGACGCTGGATCAGAAGTCCCAAATGTGTGGGCTTCTAGTCCACCCAAGTCTGCAGTGTGCTACCTCAATTCCTCCTTTGTACAATGAGACCTACTTCAGAGGGAGGGGATGGAATGAGATACTCTATGTGCAAATGTCTGTAAACATCTTGCCAATATCCTTAGCCTGAGTTCTTACCCCTCCAAGCTACTAGACAAACATGCACATGAAAAACTCCAGTGTCTCTAGATGCTCAGCAAGCCCAGCCTAAGGACTGCAAAACGTCTTACTCAGGCCTGGCTCCCGATGATCTCACTGTCCCCTGCATGTCCTTTCAGGGGCAGTGAAAGAAGTTCTAAGCATGAGTCTCTGAGCAAAGATCAAAGGAACAGGGATCATTCTGTGGGAAAAATTGTCTCGTCTGTCCCCCCCCGGTAGAGTGTAGGGCCACATCCCCAGGGTGAGCCTTTGCAAGAGTGAGGCCAGAGGTGCTGTCCCGTTTACATCTATGGTTTACATCACGTTTATTGTTTATGCAGCCCTTTAACAGTCACGGCTCAGGTGAGCCCAGGAACCAGCCTGCCACGAGCCCAGCAGATAATGGATCCCGTGGAACAGATTAAAAGCTCCACTCACTCGGGGCTCCTGACTCCAAGCCCAGCTCTCCTCCAGGGTCCAGGCTGATTGTGGGTCATTTTGATCCATAAGATGGACAGATTCAGAATATTCCTTGCCTAAGAGGTTTAAAATGAGAACCACTGGACCCTGTTGAAGGTAGATACCACCGAGAGACAGAGGGTGGGCCCAGTGACCTCAATGATGACCTACTGAAAGAGGGGAGGAGTACCTGGACAGTGTCCCAGATTGGGGGAGGGAAGCGACCACTTCTGGCTGGAGAGCTGCACCCCCATCCCCCACCCTCCCCGACTGCTCAGAGCCCGCGGGGTTAAAGCTTTCCTGGGGCTCCTCCAGAACCAGGTCCCAGCCGACCCTGTGCACAGGGTATCAGTTCTCATCTGTTTTTCTTGCTATTTTCTCCTTGGTGGGAAAGGCTGAGCCCAGGACCTTGGCTTCAGTGGGGCAGGTTCTCATGGGGGCTGCCTCCCAGGATCTGGGGAGACACTCACCTCTCCTTACATGTGGGAAAGGGAAGCAGAAGCATCCATGAGGTGGGGGTGTGTGGAAGTGACTCCAATACTTGAGGATATCCCTTCCCAGTGAGGCCCAAGTCTTCCCCATCCCAGGTACTGTGCTAGGAACCAACCAGAGAGAGGGCCACCCCAGGAGGGCTCAATCTCAGACCATAGAGACAGGAAAACACCAAGTGGGCCAATCCTCAGGCCAGCAGGGCAGACAGCTCCTTAAAGCTATGACAGAAAGATACAGGTGTCTTCCTCGAGATGCAGAGTCCCACCATTACAAAATGTCCCTTTAGGGTAAGACTTGCCTTCTCCAGGCATATTTTAAAAAAGCAAGAGAACACCATAGGAAATTAGTGAGTATCTTCTTATTGGTGAGGGTAACATGAAAAGTTGGGTCCCTGGAGCAATAGGGTTGCAAAGACCCCAAGTAGGAAAAGGACCACTGAGGAAGGAAGTGGAAGGAAGCTTCCTGTTGAAACTCTCCATGATGAGATCTGTAGGTCTGTGTTTTAATGGGACAGGGCAGAAGTCACTGCTTCTTCCCTGAGCTCTGGCCAGGCTGCCATGAGAGGAGGGAGATTCTGAGGCTAAGTGATGGGGATGGGGGGTGCTGAAAGGCAATAGTCAGCTGGTAGGTATCAATAACATGCTGATGACCGAGAACGTTCCTTGCTGCCTTCCATATGCTGGGCGGGGACCATGTAGACACGATTTCACAGATTCTTCAGCACAGCCCAGAACAACAGCTGAGACTCAGAGGAATGGGGAAGTGTGTCCAAGGCTACTCCGTCGGGAAGAAGCAGAGATGGGATTTCTAAGACTGAGGCGTGTCCATGTCCAGGCAGCCAGCTCTGCCTCTCTGGAAGATGGAAGATGAGGGAGGTGTACACTGTGGAGGGAGCCATGGTGAGGGTGGGAAGGCAAACCCGGCCTGCTCCAGGGAACCTCCCGGACCAAGTAGTTCTGAGGATGCCACCATACCCTGCCCTGGAGCCTCCTCCTCCCCAAAGCCATCAGGCACACTTCCTGCCCAGGTGTTCAGCCACCTGTTCTATTCCCACTGGGGCAACCAGGCAGTTTGGGCTCTCTCCCTTTCAATCATTAAACTGATACTCCTTAAACACCTTTCAGGCCCAGGAACTCGGCGCTAGGGTTTGGGAATACAGAAGAGAACAGGTTCTAATAAAAGTACCATTCTGAAGGCAGAGAGACAGACAATAGACATGCAAACAGACGCACCAGAACATTCCAGAGTGAGAAGATCTATCAAGTGGCTCCACAAGGTACTGAGAGAGGGAGTGACAGGCAGAGTGGGCCGCCAACTTGGGCTGGGAGAGCCAGCCCTCCTCGCTGAGGAGAAGACAAGAGCCAGAGGTAAATGATCACCAGTGAGCAGCCGGGCAGAGAGCCGGGGCAGAGCCTTCCAGACGTTCCCGCCAGGTGAAGGTGCTGAGGAAGGAAGAGAGGGCTGGTGGGGACAAGGCCCAGGGGTAAGGGCAAGAGAGAGAGGCTGTCTCAGCCAGAGACCTGGGCAGGGATGGTCACTGAGGGCCATAGAAAAGGTTCTGAGTGCAGGAGAAAGCTGTTTTCAGCAAAGGAGGGATATAATCTAATTTCTGCTTTAAAAACATAACTCAAGGTGCCACATGGAGAATGTGTGGTAGCAGGGAATGAGAGGAAGAAAGCCAACGCAGGCCATTTTAGCCACACAGGCAGGAGACGAGGGCCAGGAGCCCCAGCGGGCACAACGGACAGCAGGGAGAAGGGTGTGGCTTTGGAACATATTTGGGATCAGGAGAAATAAGACTTGCTTTGAATGTGAATGCCTAGGAGAGGAAAGAACCAAGTCGTCTGGGATTTTTATCCTGACCACTAAGCAAGTCTCCCTGCCCTCGTCCCCTTGTGTGGAACCCCATTCCTCTCCCAGGGAACACACACTGTCCACGCAGACACTCCTGTGTGTGCATATAGGGGACACTCTCCCCGCTCAGGACCTTGGCACCTCCTGCACATCTCCTAGGGTGTCCGGGAGGCTAGTTCTCCCCTCATTCAGGTCTCAGCACAGATGCCACCTCCTCAGAGTTCCCAAACCACGCTGTAAAACTGGTCCCCATCACCCCGTGGCTTCATGCCATGTTTACTTTTCCTGATAGAGATGATCTCACTTTCTGGCTCGCTATATGTGTATTGATGCATTTGTATCTGTTTCTCTCCACTAGAGTGTAAAAGCTCAATTAGGATAGAGCTTTTATTTTGCATAATCAACTCAGCATCCCAGTAGCTATTTGTTGAATGAATAAATACTTGTAAAAATGGATTAATGAATGCAAACATCCCTTTATTCAGAAATGATTGACTGAGGTTCTGTCACGTGATACAGCTCAGAGAGTCAGAGATAAGGACTAAATGATAGCTGCTCAATTGGAGATGGTCAGCTAGACGGGCATGGTCTTGACCCCGGAGGCAATTACAGTGTGCTGGATGAGGACGCTAGTTCCCTCGCTCATTCCCCACTGAGCTGGGAGCTGCAGGGGATCTCATGCTGAATCAAATAACTCCTGGTCCCCTGCTTAGGTCCTGTGACCTATGGCTGCAGTGATGAGGACCTCTGATGAGAGATGTATGCAAGTGCCACCAGTCTAGCAGCCAGCCACCAACATGTTACAGCAGCTGTGAGCCCTAGCATATTGAGAGACCAGCA